TTATTGGTACATTGTAGGTATACAACACAATTACATTTCTCATTGGGAATTGTACCTTTACATAATGCATCTTGGTTCAGTGGTCTTGAATTTGTGACCTTTCTGCCTCAGGCTCCTCCTCAGTAGCTAGGATTACAGGCTTGTGCCACTGAATTCAGCCTTTAGCTATTTTACTTTCTCAAGAATGTAATCATTGGGCTGGGATTTAGCTCAGTGGCTCCAGTGCCTGCCTTGGAAGCACAAGGTCCCAAGTTCGTCCCGGTACAAAAAAAAAAAAAAAAAAATAATGTAACCATTACCTAAATTTACCAAAGTTATTCATAGGCTTCCTTATGCACTGTTTTCATTTTGCACAAAGGCGTCAGAAGCTTAGGATTTCCATCATCTTCATCTGTGCATTTGGTGCCCAGTACAGTGCCTGGAACACAGAAAATATTTGTTGATGAATGAATGAGTGGAATGAGTATTATAAGAGAGTAAGAACTAAAACTATGTCAAGAATGAGATCAAGTGAGAAGGGAAATTCTCTGGTTGTCCTTCATATGGCCTTAAAGTTGACTTTGAAACTAGCTTGGAGAACGGAGTCGGCAGTAGCTAATGGGGTTATATCATTTTGAACAAAAGCAAGGTAGAAGTTGTGAGGTCTGAGGGAGTCTGTTGCAGCCATGCAAGTGGAAGATGACGGTGGGCTGGGGTGATAGTGGCAATGGAGACAAGGAGAAGAGGCACAGCTGGATTTACAAGTGGCAGGACAATTGGCAGGATTTGTGAAAGAAATCCAGCCAAAACAGGAGCACCCGAGGCAAGGCTTTATTGGGGACAGAGCTGCTGGGCTGTCTCAAACAATGGAGAAAGAGAAAGACTAACTGGGTGAGGTTTATAAAGGGTTGTGTGTCAGGAGAGCATCATGGGGGTTGACGATTGGTTGTATTGCTGGGGCTGGTGACAGAGTTTAAACTTATTAAGGATAAGGATGGGGTGAGTAGTGGAGTAGGGTGGTGAGTTAAATTTCGCTTTCCCGGAGAGGATAAGTTTTGATTTTACCAAAACGACCTGTCAAGGAGAAAGGGGTGTCATTTAGAGTACCAGACCTCCCCGGGGCCATTTTGTCCAACAATTTGCTGACGAATTCCGTGTAGGAATTGAAGATTTGTGAGCATATCAATGGGTTTCCAGCACAGAAAATGGAAATCACCGTAGGCATTTGTTACAGATGTACCCCCCAAAGCCTCATGCTGTCATAGTGGGGTTTTTTTCAGAGGTGGCTGACTCTAGAGTGTGTAATGCTGGGATTAAGGGTGTGTGATTACTAAATCAGTCCACTGATTGGTTTGGCACTGCCCTAATCCCAGTACCCTGCATACAATATAAAGGGCAGAAAGAGACTTGTCTTCCCCCTTGCTCTGTTGTTGTTTTTGCTGTCTTCCACCACCATGAACTCTTGCTCTTCTACCATGTGCCACCCTGCTTTGGAGCCAGCCGATTTTGGACTGAAACCTCTACAAACTGTGAGCTAAATAAACCTTTCCTCCTTTAACTTTGGGTGTCCAATATTTTGTCTCAGCAATGAGAGAAAAGTAACTAAAAAAGCATTTTAAACAGAGGAAATTTAACAAAAGGCATTGATAATAAATGTATTGGAAAGACTGGAGGAACAAAAAAGGGCAAGATATGGTAACCCCAAGAGAAGTACCTGTGGGAAGTCACTGCCACTTCCATGACTAGAGCAACAGAGCAAGGTGGGGGTGTTATCACAGCCCAAGAGTATCTGGCCTCTGACACTGTGGGAAGCCACCAATACAGTTCGAGCTGGCCACTGCCAGGACAACTGATTCCCTTCCTGGAACCGCTGAAGGGTACCAGGACCCCACTGCTGCCAACGCTGCCTGCCCCAGCCACTGCCAGAAGCATAAAGCGTGTGTTGGGGGTGGGTGTGGGTGTGATCTCTCCCTCATTTCATGCAGTTTCCCACCAGTGCCTCCCACTGGCTGCATGGAACTAGGCCAGCTGGCAAGGAAATGTGGGAAATGCACTTCACAGGATTTTAGCCACCTCCAAAAACCCAGAGTGCAGCATGTCAAGAAGGGAACTTAGTTCACATAAGCCAGTGACCAGCACAGGAAAGAATTAAAGATTTGTTGTCAAGTAGGAAAAACAATCCCATATCCCTTAAATTGTTTTCTTTCTATAAAAGTAATATGTGCCCATTTGAAAAACAAAAACAAAAACAATAGAACATCAAAAATTTCAATGGTCCCACTTACCTAGAAACAGTCACTAATAACTTTTTTTTCTGGGGGGGGCGGTACTGGGGATCGAACCTTGCACTTGCAAGACAGGTGGTGGCACCACTGAGCTAAATCCCTGGCCCACTAATAACGTTTTAATGAATCTCTCTTTTTCTCTCTCTCTGTCACACACACACACACACACACACACACATTTATCTTTTACCTTATATATATATTCTGTTTTGTAACCCGGTATGCTAAATTTATGTAATAAGCATTTGATGGGGACTTATTTGTATCAGCCAGCTTCTGGTGTTGAGTATGTATGTATGTATGTTCTACCATCTTCCTATTATAAATATTTAAAAGAAACTAATGTACTTAGTTTGCAATTTAATGTAAGTTTTCAATTTAAGAAGATAATTCATGAATATAATCACATGACTTCCCATTAGATTATCATGAGATGGGTTGCTTAGGTAGAAAGAGAAAACTCATTATTTTAGACTTCAGGTGGAATTCTGGGTGTTTTCTTGTGCTGTTTTGTTTTCTCTCTTGCGGGAAGTTCTAGAAGTGCGCAGTGTGGAGGTGGAGGGAACTTCGGCTGCAGGATTGCAACTAGAACTGTCTGGCCCATGTGGGTCTGGTCTCTACTGAGTCCATCTTCTGATGGGGAAGCTGGTCCCCTGGAATGTACAGGAGGCTGGAACCAGGGGAGGCATCTGCAAGAGCAGAAGCTGCTTAGTGCCCTTATTCAGGGCAACCACGCATTTCTTGGGTGTTATTGATTAAAAAGCTTAAGACTACTAGTGACTTACACTGGCTTTAAAGATGAGGAAATGTGTTCTCCCCCAGAACTGAAAGTCCTGAGGTAGGACAGGGTCCAGGAACTATAAGACAAGCAGCAACGTGATGTCACCAGTGTCCCAAGTTCTTTGAACACTGCTCTGCCTTCCTCTGTTTTGGCTTCATCCTGAGATGAGGCTCCTTTCATGGTGACAAGGTAGCTGCCAGGGCAGGCTAAATTTCCTTTCTTCATGTTCAGCAGGAAAGAAAAAGAGACTTCTCCCTTCCATATCAATTCTCTTCAATTCAAGCAAGCCAGTGATTCTTACCACTGCTGCATGTTAAATCACCAGGATGCTTTATAATTTGCTTATTGTTATTATTTTATGTATATAATTTATTGTATACTATTATTTATTTAATTTTTAAAAACTCTGTATCTAGGGTTTATCTTCAGAAATATGAACTTATTAGTCTAGGGTAGGGCCCAGCTCTGGGCTGTTTTTAGAAGCTCTCAGGTAATTGTACAACTAGGGTCTAAACCACTGAATTTGCTGGTATAGATCACCTGCCCACCCCTAAACCACTATTGGTCATCATGGTTATGCCATGAATGGATGGATTAAAACAGTGGGTCTCAGGGCTGGAGATTTAGCTCAGTGGTTCTGGCGCCTGCCTCGCAAGTGCAAGGACCCGAGTTCGATTGCTGGTACCAAAAAATAAAAAATAAAAAAAATAAAACAGTGGGTCTCAAAGTGTAGTTCCAGACCAGCAGAGGCAGCTCCTGGGAACTGATCAGAAATGCAAATTAAGCAGAGTGAGGTGGTGCACGCCTGTAATTTCAGTGTTCTGGGAGACTGAGGCAGAAGGATCACAAATTCAAGCCAACCTGGGGAAGTTAGCGATTTAGCAAGATCCTGTCTCAAAATAATACATACATTTATAAAAGGCTAGAGATGTAAAGGCCTACAGCACAGTGTGAAGGCCTTGGGTTCAGTCCCCACTACCAGGGGAAAGAGGGGGGGGGCGGGGGGGGCGGGGGAGGAGAAAGAGAGAGAAAGGAAGGCAGCAAGAAGGAAGGAAGGAAAGAGAGAAAGAAAGGGTTAGAAAAAAAGATAGGCAGGCATTGTATGGGCTCCACCCAAGCCTACTGAATCTTAGCTCTAGGGGTGGGGTTCAGCAATTGGTGTTTAACTAGTTTACCAGGTGATTTCTATGGACAGCGAAGTTTGAAAGCCACAGCCAATCAAGCTCTTTCTCTGGAGTGAGGGAGGAGGTGAATAGATTGGCAAAAGCTGAGATCTGCTAGAACACTGACGCCTAGGACTGGTAATGCCTAGCACTCTGTGTCATGCTCCCGCCACCAGGCCAGGAGAGAAGAGGATAAGATCAGCTACAAAAACCCTAGGGCCCCTTTGGTGCACAGAGACCTCCTCGAAAATGGTCCCACCAAAATGAGCTGATAGGAAGGGAAGGAGGCATATTCTGTGAGTAACCATTCCTTTCCACCTTGGGATTTCTAAACCATTTTCTGCAGGAGCTAACGAGCTAAGAAGACTAACAGCATATACAGTGGACCCTCAAATTATGACCAGCCTGACATATGAACAACTTGAGTTAGTTAGGTTAATGGGAGATTAATCTGCCTCTTGCTATCTATAGCATGTACCCAGGTAAACATCCAGATCTCAGCTGTATTGACTTAGTTACAAACAGCCCCCAGGAACTGATCAAATTCATAAGTCAAGGGTCCACTGTATTTCCCTAAAAAGACTGTGAACTTATTTCAACCTCTGCACAATTTCCCAAGGATCCTGGAAAATAAAAAGGTCATTAAGTACAAATGAATGAAATCTGAGCAAAACAAGTACTTTAGTTAATAATAATGTATCAGAATGGGTTCATAAATTATGACAGGTCTAACCATACTGATGTATGATGTAGTAACAGAGAAAACTGGCTGTGAGGTATATAGGAACATTGCATATAAATCTTCATATCTTCTCTGTAAATCTGAAACTGTTGTAAAATAAATTTATTCCAAATAAGATAAAGTAAGGTGTAAAATGCTAATGAATAAAACACCTTAGGAAAGCCTTTACAAAAGTATTCTATATTAAAATTTCACACTGCTGTATTTTTATGGTTGATGCAAAAGGTTTTTTTAACTTTTCAACTTAAATAAGAAATGCATTGGAAAATATTAATGAATATTCCTGATGTCACATTTCTCAGAATCAGCATGTGGCCAGAATTATCAAAGAACAAATGAGACTGGAACTTGTCTATATGCTTAGACGCGATTAAGGGCTGCTATAGAAAGTGGCTTTCTTTGCCCATCCTCTCAGTCATGGGAAAGAGTAGACTTAGTTCAGCTCCACAGAGAAGGGGACACAGTCAGATGCTTGCTTAACCCAATTTATACCAGTGTACTCGAGACCATTAAAGTCACTTTGGGCAGGCTTGTCTTGTTTCCCTAGCTCCTAGCTGCAAACACTTCCTGTGTTTGATTTGTGTTGATTTGTATTTGATTCCTGAAAACCTTGGGCCATAACTCAAATAAAGCAAGAAGCAAATCCTCATTTGTAACTTGGGAAGTGACTCGTAATACAGTCAACTAAGTAATTTATTCTAAGTTTTGCTTATGTCTCTTCTGCGCCAAGTATCAGTTAGGAAACCAATGATTAAAATTGTCATCGTAGGTGAAAGTATTCTAAGTAAGAGTTATAACAGAAAAGAGTACTTAAGTGCAAATATATTTCTATGCCAAACTCAAGGCATAACATGATTCTTTCCCCTCTCCTCTTACTCCATTGGGATCTCCCCTTCATCCTGCACTCCAGTACTTTCTCATTGTGAACTTAGTTTTTCTGTGTCTCATCTTTGTCATTTGTACAATAGGAGATACCTATTTCTTGGTGGTGTTATAAGAATTACTTGAAGTAATGTTTGCAAAACATATGGTACAGTATCAAATGTTACAAAGTGATTGATCAATAAATAAGATGACCCTTGCTCTAATTGAAGTAATTCAATATATGATAAACCTCCTGTTAATATGGTATATCAAAAACACACACAGGGCTGGGGATTTAGCCCAGTGGTTCTGTCGCCTGCCTCGCAAGTGCAAGGACCCGAGTTCGATCTCCGGTACCAAAAACAAAAAAAACACAGACACAAAAGAATATTCAGGTACCACCTGGAAGGGAGAGGCTTAGACATGGCAGGACTTTGATGGGACAGGAGAAATGCAGACAGTTTCCATCATAAAAAATAAGGTGATAAAACTCAGATTACTGGTGGGAATGTAAAATGGTACAGCTGTACAGCTGTTGTGGAAAACAGTTTGGTGGTTCCTTAGAAGTTAAACTACATAGAATTACCATATGACACAAAAGTTTCACTCCTAGGTATATATGCCCCAAATAATTGAAAAGATGTACTCAAATATTTAGGCACACATGTTCCTAGCAGCACTATTCATAATAGTCCAAAGATAAAAAGAACCCAAATAGCCACCAGTTGATAAGTGGACAAACAAATCATGGTATTGCTATACACTAGAATATTATTCAGCCATAAAAAATGAGGTACTCATACATAGTACAATGTGCATGTACCTGGAAAATAACCTTATACTAAGTGAAGAAAGCCAGTCATAAGGGATCATGTATAATGTGATTCCATTTATAGGAAATATCTAGAATAGGTGAATCCATGAAGGCAGAAAGCAGATCTGTAGTTGCCAAATGAGGATGGATAACAGCTGCTTAATGGGGATAGGCTTTTCTTTGGGGGTGGTGAAATATTTTGGAATTGGAGAGAGATGGTGATTGCATAGCCTTGTGACTATGTGTACTAAATTCCACTGAATCCTTCACTTGGAAATAGCTAATTTTAATGGTTTAATTTATTGTTTAGTTTTAAAGGCTTCTCAGTCTTTTGGCTATAATCAAATGAAATGGTTAGTTTTACATTTTGTGAATTTTATCTCACTAAAACAAAACGGGTGCATACATAAATAAGAGAGTGAGTGTACTCTCTTTGTGGGAGTTGAGAAGGCAGAAGGATCCCAGGTTTCCTCTTCCACTCATCAGAGTCTTCTCACCCAGGAAAGTTACTAATGTCTGGCCCCTGAAGCCTTTGTTTCCTCATCTGCAAGAAAGTGAGGTGGGACAAGGTGACCACTAAGATACCTTCCAGTTCAAATTGCGAGGAAAAGAAACTCAACATCCTTCTTTCTCCCTTCTCCTTCAGATGCTGAAGATGACAACATTTGGGCAGATGCTTTCTGGAAAACAATGTGACCAAATGTCATGGAAATTAGTTTTAGTTGTTAATATGAAAATATACTTTAATATTTGTTATGGTTAGGATTATAAATGTCCCCAAAAGGCCTATATGCTAAAGGCTTGGTCACCAGCCTGTGGCACTACCGGGAGGTATTAGAAACCCTTAGGAAGTTGGGCCAAATATCCACAGACTGAAACTTTTGAAACCATGAGCCAAAAACATCTTTCTCCCTTATAAGTTGATTATTTCAGATATCTTGGTAACAGTGACAGAAAACTGACTAGTACAATATTCGTCATGAAAATGATACAGATTAATGGATAAATAACTAAAACTAATGCACTTGAACAAGTAGTTTGGGGTTTGCCTCTCTGATGCTCAGCCTCAGAGCTCATGCCTGGCTCCAGCCTGTCTGTGTCCTTCTGTATAATCATATACTTTAATTTTTGCCAGCCCCAATATCTCTGGTTTCTATGCCAGATGCAGTGCTAGCAGCCTCAAGCTGATTGGGAGAGCCTTGGTTGATTAATAAGTGCCCTTGCCAAGTAGGGATGGTGCCATGGGATTGAATTCCACTCTACACCATGCTTTGCAACTAAAGTCATCTAGAACAGATGGCCTTGTTACCAGGACTGTGTTTAAACTGCTGTTCTAGTTATAAGACTAGTTGTGCTTTACTGTGAAATTACTGAAATATTATTTGGATAGTAATTACCCAGTCATAAGATTTAAAATCCTGGGTCAACATGTTCATTCTGGGAGGTGAGTATATAATTTTATGTATTTTTCTTTTTTGACCAACATCTCATTGACCAGTTACTATAGGTTTCTAGTCCTTTGTAAATTGCCTTCAAATTATATTCCTCCTAGTATCAGTGTATCTATAAAGAGCCTTCATCTAGAAAAGTTTTGGCCAGCTATCAAGGATTATCTGTCATTTCTTCTCCTTTTTAATTCTGTCCCTCTTCAGGGATATCTATTTCTGATCTCTGCAACAGACCCCAAAGCTGGGAAAAACACAGACCACTGACCACCAGAGCCCACATTCAGGCTGCCCCATACCTGCTTTCTTGGTCACCCCTGGAGGAGATCACTTAAGGGGCCAAAGTTACTCCTGGGGTTCAAGCAAAAGTGGGAGACAGCCCCCCCCCCCACCTTGTTATTGCATCTCCAATTCACTCCTGCAAATAAACAGCCTGCCAGCTTTCATGCTAGGTTTTCTATCCTGCAGCTTGAGCATCCACCATGGTTGTCTAGGGAGACAAAGCTGAGAGACAAATCCCCCTCCACTGGCCTCTGACGTTCTGTTCTGGGCCAGGCTAATCAGCTTGACACTTTCAGCAAGTTCTCATTGGGGAGCCTCCCCAATGCCTCTCCTAAGAAGACCTTTTCCAGCCCACAATCCTTTGTGGCATTTGCAGGGTCAGACATTGGGTACCAGGAACTATTTATTAGCATCTACTATGATTAGGCACTCTTGTCATTGTTGAGCTGTTGTGCGACTTGAGAGGGCAATTGCCTAAGCACTGGCCAATTCCAGCCTTTACCCCAAGGAGGAGTACCTCCTGCTGAATGATCACACCAGAGATGCCAACTCATTACTACATGTATGGGGACCTCATCTCAATATAACCAGAAATTTTCTCAAAGATTCTTAGAGCCTCTACCATAGACTGCCCCTCAGGAACCCTTGAGTTCCTTACCTGACTATGTGCTCTGCTTCTGTTATGTAGCAGCACCCTTTTCTCCTCTGCTCTTTTTGTTCTTGGTCTGAGCTATACTGTATTTTCCCCCCGAGTGGCGGAGAGGAGAAGGGTACTGGAAAGAGAATAAACTGAAAAAGCTGTAGGGGATTGTATACACAATAATACCCAAAACCAGTCCATTCTTTCGTTTAAGTTAAATGAAGAACACCAACACACAAGAATTTAGAACTAAAAGTATAGAAATGGCTTTGCCTGCAATTTATGAATTTTTTTCTGAGTTGGTGTTTCAAAGAAAAAGGAATTTAAAATCCTAAAAGCAATTAGCATATCTGTAGATAACTAAAAAGTCTGCTAGGCTGTGTCCAGCCCTCCCATTAGTGCAGCTGCTTGTGGAAAAAGTGAGAGCAGAGACCTGAAATACTATGTATCCTTTGCGGGGGTGTGTAGGGGAGGGGTGGATGTCAGTGTCTACTGTTACATGAGCATGTGATTAATTTTGAAGGTAGAATTTCAGAACATCATATTTTGGTAAGAAATTTGAATGGTAAGTGGGTAAAAATATCTGGCAAAGCAAAATATAGTATTTGCAGGGTTCAGCAAATACTATTGATATAGGGCCTGTGATATATGAACCTCCAAATAAAATAAGGGAAATATTAAAACTCCCAACTTGCTAGATGTCCAATTCGCTGAGTTCAGATTCTCTAAAATCAAAGAATGAATTCTAGGAACAATGGAGGTTAAGAGTAGGAAGAATTTATTGAGAGAAAGATACTTTCTAAGAGAGACAGAAGGGGGGCCCAAAAAGTGGGATGCCCATGGACCCTGCTTTTAAAGGGAGTTTTATAGAGCAAAGCCACAAGGTGTGTGTGTGGGGGTGTGTGTGTGTGTAAGGTGGGACAAAAACTATAATCAACTAATAAGAACAAGTAAGTCACTTAGGTAATATTGATCCAGTGGAAAAATCACAAGGTGGGTATGAGGTGGGACAAAACTATGGTGAGCCAATAAGACTACAAGTATAGTCACTTAGGTAATATTGATTAAATGGGGGTCAAAAAGGAAAACAAGTCAAGTAGTAGGCACACAAGGAAGGAACAAAGACTTTTCCTGGAAGGGATGGGTCAGGGACCTTTCCTGGAAGGAAGGCGTTATGGTCTTGGTCCCCCCACCCAGGTGATTGATGCCTATTTAGAATATCAATTACTGCTGCTCATCTTTAGGGGAAGTGTGTGGGAGTAGTCAGTTGTCTTTGTCCTGAAGCCTGGCCTTCAAGGAACAGCCACAGTTGCCTTCTGCACTGCCTTCTTTGAGGGCCCAGCCCTGTCTGACTGCCTATAATATTTTAACTAACTTAGCTGTCTACAGTACTATGACCCAGCATTTCCTCACTGTGCACATCCCCCTTATCGTATAGGGCCTTGCACACACTATAGGGGCAAAGGAAAATGTCTGTTCACGTTTTATTTTTATTTTTAAAAGTTAATTTAATTTTTACTAGTACATGTTAGTAACCCATAATAATTACATTCATTATGGGAAGTTGGTACATGTATATGACACATCTTAATTCTTTTCTTTCCACTTCCTCGGTGGCCGAAACCTCCTGACCAGGATCAAATAGCAGAGGAAAGGCCAACCAGGAAAGGCACCAGCTCAAGCCAGACCGAGACCACTGTTTCATCAATATATTTGCTCCTGGGTTTATTACTGTACTCAAAGGTCTGGAAGGTGACTAGTGCTGAATGTGGCAGTAAACTGTGCTGTTCATTTCATTTACATTTCAGAGTGAGGGATCCAGGTTTTCAAGTTTGCTACGGGATTTTATGCAAACCAATATGCAAATGAAGAGCCTTCTAAAAATTCCATCTGTTCTCCAGCCCCTCCCCTGGTCACGAACCACTGAGGGTGGCGCGGAGCTCGCTGGGATCCTCCTGGAGTGAAGGGCAGACTGGGCTGGGTGACGGGCGGGGGAGGGCTGTCCCGGAGGCGGTCCCGGGGCGGGGCCGTGACGCGTGCAGCCCGCCGGCTCAGGGGCCGGACCTCACTCCGCCTCGGGCCATCACAGCTGTGGTGGATCCACAGCTCCAAAAAGGCCCTCGGACTCCTCACTAGGCCAGTCCAGCGTCGGGTGGCGGAGCCCCGCACAATTTCCTCCGCTCCCTAAACGGGGATCCTTTCTCCCTAGAGTTTGCGAGCAACTTTCCCCTCCGTCCCCGGCGCTGCGGTGGCTCGGAGACCGTGGCTGCCGCAGGTTGCTGAACCTAGGGCTCTGCTCCCCGAACCTGGGCTTCGTGCTCGCGTAGGTCGCTTCCTCTCGGGGTGCACACTGGGGGTCCCCGATCTCGAGGCCGAGGGCGAGATGCCTCTGGGACACATCATGAGGCTGGATCTGGAGAAAATCGCCCTGGAGTACATCGTGCCATGTCTGCACGAGATCGGCTTCTGCTACCTGGACAACTTCCTGGGCGAGGTGGTGGGCGACTGTGTCCTGGAGCGCGTGAAGCAGCTGCACTACAACGGGGCCCTGCGCGACGGCCAGCTAGCCGGGCCGCGCGCCGGCGTCTCCAAGCGGCACCTGCGGGGCGACCAGATCACGTGGATCGGGGGCAGCGAGGAGGGCTGCGAGGCCATCAGCTTCCTCTTGTCCCTCATCGACCGGCTGGTCCTGTACTGTGGGAGCCGGCTGGGCAAATACTACGTCAAGGAGAGGTCCAAGGTAGGACGTGCGCGGGAGCGGGAGGCGTTCGGGGTCGGTTGTATGATGGGCTGTTCCGAACTTTGGTTTTTAACAAGTCAGCTTGGTTTCTCTCCCCACCACCACTCCTCTACCCCCCACCCCTAGCTCCTCTGAGCAAAAGCCCTTGTTTAAAGGGGGCTCAGGTGTATCAAGAAGGCCTTCTGTGACTTTGAAAGAATTGCTCTGGTTGATGATACAAGCCGAAAAATTGTAACTTTTGGTCCAATTTTAAGACATGGAGATTGTCAAAGATCCAAAGGAAGGAAAAGATATTAGAAACATTGTGTATGATCTGAGACACATATGTATTGGTAATGTTGAATGCCTACTTTAGCCACCTAATATTGTCCTTCATTATGGTCAGAAGGGGTTCCTACAAGAGCACTCTTTGATTCTGGAGTCAGTTGTGATTTTGCGTTGTGGCAGTTGGTTTGTGGAGCTTGGCAGGAGTGGGAAGAGTTTGACATGTGAAAGGAGAAGCTTTTCGTCATTTCTGAGTGCTGTGCTTGACCTCTCGGACTTGGGACACTGATAGACCATCTACTTGACAAAATTGTGTCCTGGTGCACACTTTTTCCTAAGGATTTGTGACAAAACCTACTCAAAGCAACCAATTAAGCGCTCAAGAGAGAGTAGTCAAGAACTTCTGGATAGAAACCTTGTTTTTCTTCACCTGGCCAGAAATGACTCTTTGGGTAGTTGGTAATTTACTTTGGAAACATTTACAGGTAGATTGGCAGAAATATGGGAACACATAGGTGCCATTATGTCAGTGCATGTACGTTACTTTGGGGTAGTCTTGCTACTAAGCCATTCTTCATAGTCCAGGCAGTTTTCTAGTGACGATTCTGAGTGAGTTGCCCTTGTGTATTGTGGTCTGGTCAAGGAAGGATGGACCACTTTTATCAAAAAACAGGCAGAGTGTACTAGAGTGTACTAGCGTTTGAGAGAAGATAAACATTCAGCTATGTACCATTCTTTGACAATAAGGGTAACACTTTCTCAATGTAAAATTAATCTTGTGATAAGAGTATTTCATTTTTCTCACAAGCTGAGAGGAACACTCTTAATGAAAGGCAAATAGTAAAGATTGAATATATGTGGAAGCCAAGGGGTTGATATGGGTGCATGGAGCCGGGAACCATAGATGGCTGTACACTTTAAAGCAATGAGAACATGGATAGAATATCTGAAATCATCCTTGAAGGTGAACACACAGTAAATCTTAAAAGAAAATGTTGTTTTCTAAATGTTACTTTGTTTTGGGAAAAGTTAAGAGTTAGCTGAACTGTTTAGAATGATGGCAAAGTATTTCTGTTCTTCCATCAGTTTGGTGCTGGAGTAGAAAGTCATTTGTCTTTAAATCAGTTTTGTTTTTTCACCAATGACCTTGCTTGTCTGGGGGGAGAGGAGAGGTGACCCCAGTGTGGCTTCAATCTGGAAGAGCAAATGGCTTATCAGGTTTTAAAAGTTTTTCCAAAATGGAGGGGTTGGGAATCCCCCCCCCCCCCGCCCTGCATTCTAGGAACAGATTTTGCTCTGAAGGAGGTCAGAATTAATTGGTAGAATGATGTCACTAACATACTTGAAAGTTAAATATTTTTATTTAGCTTTAACCTAGTGCATGAGGGTAGGGTTTCAGTATGGAATTTAACTCAAATGGAATGAAAAGCACTGTGTAAATCAGGGTAAAGAAGAAAAGATCTCCAGACAGGATTCTTTAATTATGAGTTATCTTTTGGGTAGAATAATAGCTTTTCATTTAACTGTGTCAGAAGGTGACTGAGTTGATAAGAGAAGATTCATCTTGTTCACTGAAGAGACATCAGCTTATTCCCACAGTTCAGCTGTAATTTGGCTATTTTGGTGCAAAGCACTTCATTCTTGCCCTTTTGAAAAATCGAACATGTCCTGGTCAATTAGAGCCAAATGCAAACCAAGCCTCAGCAAAAGATTTGTATAACAATAACAAAAATGAAACAAAAATTTGATTTGCTTGAATGAAGGAATCTGTGGCCTCAGGTCTCTCATTCAACATATAGAAACATGTTCCATTTCTATATGATTTATATTACTTTCACCTTAACCTTTTTTCTTTCATTACTTTCTTTTCCTCCCTCATTGGAGTCCTTTATGTTGTGCTGCTTCCCAGAGCAGTGATACAGATGGACCCATTTACTTGCTGGGTCCTGTAAGCTATTGAGGAAGATTTAAAATACACGCAAATGTAGGAAGCTAGTGTAATGAGCTCCCATTACAGCTTCAGCAATTGCTGGTGTATACATTTAGTTAGACCAATTGTTTGTGAGGTACTTTAAATTTCTTGAGGTTATGCTTATGAATGCATACACCTTAATAATTTTTTGGTGTTTCTGCTGGACTTTTATCATTGAATAATATAGTAATGTCCTCTATCTCAGAATTTACAAGAATATGTACTGGACCTAAAATCGAAATAGTGGAAGAGTATAAAAGAAATATGAGGAGGTCTATTTGCCTGCCAAAAAGTTGTTGGCCAAAATTTGTCTACCTGATTTTCCTTGGGGAAAAATCTAAGGTGCTAAAGACCCTTGGGGAGGAGGACAGCAGTGTACAGCAGTATGGCGCCCCCTAACTTCAAGCATGGTCATTGCTTTCAAGCTAGCAAGGGCGAGTTTATCTGTTATTCCCTTGGGAGGATTTCAGATTCTATCCAAGATAAATACCGGTTATAATTTGCTTTTTCTTTGGCTGCCTAAATCTTGTAAATGGCTGTTTTCCAGTGAATATGTAATTTATAGAACCAAAAGTCTCTCTGCTTAAAGCGTTTCACTGTAGACTTACCAGGGAATAATTCTATTAATAATATGAATACTTTGTATTGAGCAGTTTGCTCTGTCTGGCACTGTGTTAAGCACTGTACAAATACCATCTTAATCTTCAGAATTCCAATCTTAACAAATTGAGGGCTTAAATAATTTGCTCAAAGTATCAAAGTTGGTAACAAGCAGTTTATGAAAAGGGTTAGGGGTTTAGGCTTGAAGTTAATTCCAAACCTTGTGAGTTTGCTTAGGTAAGTTGTTTAGGTTTCAACAAGTGTAAATAATGCCTTAGATGGAGCTTTGAAAGGAAGGAGCATTAAATATTGTAATGTTCTGTTAAGCAGAATCCTGAGCCTTTGTCAGTGTTATAAGGCTCTAAATGAGATTTGAGAGTGTGACTGGATTTCTCTGACTCAGGAGTCTGTGTTCTTAACTTTCCTGCTTGTCATCCTTTCATGTATTCTGAAGGTGTTTATGGAATATTCACTCGATGGGATGCTGTGCAGGGGTTGGGGTACTTCTGTTCACATGTATCTTTGTAGGATCCTCTAGTTCACACTTGACTGAGTCTCAAGTGTTATTAAAAAGAGAAGAAGAAAAAACCTCCAGTGAAGTGAATCCATTGAGTACATATGACGAATAAATGGAGTCTGTGCCATGGTTTTTCTGTTATTTTTAGGAAAGTCTGTATTAACAGTGTTGGTTGTTAGGATCTCTGACCTGAGTGACACTGGACCCCAGCTTTGGGAGGTTTGTATTGCAAGCAGACAGATCCTTTCTTTCCTGGCAACAATACAGAGGCGTGATGAAACAGCACAACTTTTATGAATAAAAGAAAGTGGGTGGCAAGGTGATAGGCTTATCTTTCTGCTCTTTAGCAATAATAGTTTTGGCTGCCCCTTCTCATGTGATGTCAGGAGTTCCATTTCTAGTCACAAGCTACTTTCTGCAGAGATGGGCTAGCTTCAGAAGATCAGGATATCACTAGGAACCAAGAATAGGAAATGTAGTCAGAAGACTGGAGCCATCATCTAGACAGTCCTTCATATCTAGGCCAGCTGCTGTGTTCCTTCTTTGTGCTTTATGGTCTGTTTTTGCTTCTTTGCTTATGTTCTTTATTTCTCCCCCTCTCTTGTTCCAATCCAGCTTTTGCTGGTATTTCACATACGTAGCCCAAGATGGCTGCCCTATAATGGCCACTTCAGGTTTTATTTCAGGATGAGCAGAGGCTTGAATAACATTCTGGAGTCCATATTTTCTGTACCTGAAAGAAAATCTGATTGTCTGCCTTGCCTCAGCGGTCCTAGCAGCCTTGGTTGAGGGCGGTGGGAGGCATGAGAATAATATTGTCACAAATGTGGTTGTCAGAGTCCATGACAGGTATAGTTCTAGGAGCACAGAGTTTGTGGACTGGACACCATATATAGTGTCTCTGCAATGAAAATCTTAAAAATCTTTGTGTGGATAAGGTATTTTAGGGAGAGGGCCACCAAGATTCAAGCACTGAACATCTTTCTGTAAGGATGTAAGGAATTGCTATAAAAGGTTTTATATTAAAAATATCTTAGCTCCTAGAGGAAGAAAATGACTCCAAGGAAATCATTTATGGTAAAAGGTCCCAGGGACAGGGAAGCAAGTTTCTCTATTGGGTGACTTTGCATGGTGTTCATTGTCTATATTGTTGAATGACAGTTGGTAACAAAGAAGGAAGAGTAGGATGTATGTGTGTGTTTAATTTATATTTCTTTTGTTCAACTTTTGTGTTGGCTATTCAGTCACAACCTTATCTGCTTGTAGAGAAGCCAGAAATCAGGGGTATCAATTTAACTTATCTATTCACAAATCCTTAAATGCCTTCACTGTAGTAGACCTGCACATGGGTGGGGGAAGGAGCGAGGAAAGTGAATAGGAAGCCACCCGAAGAAGCAAGCTGGAAGGTGGATGTGGGGGAAGACTTGTTACCACTGTTGTTTTCTTTTTTCTGGCCACAAAGCCCACTTTTACACCACTTGTCATTGTTTTTCTTTGAGCTTTCTCTAATTTCTTAATTCTTTCAAATGAAATGGACAATATAAGTGACCTGACTATTCAGAACTTTAATACTATGAATTTTTTAGAGTTGGAGAGGTGTCAGAAATTTCATCTATCCAGTCCCTCATTCAGCAGCTCAGGTCTTCT